CGGCCCCGCCCGCGCCGGTGCTGCCCTACGCCTGCGAGGACTGCGGCCTGCGGTTCGGGGACGCCCTCTCCCGCAACCGGCACCAGAAACTGCAGCACTACGCCGACCAGGAGGAGGAGGAGGAGAGGAGAGGCAGGGAGGGAGAGAGAGCAGGGAAGAGAGAGAGGGAGGGAGGAGGGGAGGAGGTGTAGAGGACAGGAAAGAGAGAGGGAGGAGGAGAGGAGGTGTAGAGGGAGAGGAGAGGCGGGGAGGGAGAAAGAGAGAGGGAGAGGAGAGGAGAGGAGGTGTAGAGGGAGAGAGGGAGTGTTGAGAGAGGAGAAGGAGACAGAAAGGGAGAGGAGGAGAGGGAGTATAGAGGGAGAGAGAGGAGGTGTAGAGGGAGAGAGAGAGGGAGTGTTGAGAGAGGAGGAGAAGGAGACAGAAAGGGAGAGGAGGAGAGGGCAAGAGGGAGTGTAGAGAGAGGAGAGAGAGGGCGGGTGCAGGGCTGGTCTAGTGTGAGGGGAGAGACAGCAGGAGTTACTCCGACAGGCCAGAGCCGGAGAGAGGAAGAGGGATTGAGGAAGAGGAGGGGGTCCAGCACAGCCCTCACGGAGCAGAGACCCTGGACAGTCTGAGAGCGGACGAGCCAGCGACTGACCCTGGAGGGGTGTCCCCACCCCCTCCGAACACAGACCCTGACCCCTCCGACAGTTCGGAGAGCTTGAGAGTTCCTGGGGCCACAGTCTGCCTGCTCCTTCGGCACGTCGTGTGGAGTGAGACTGACCACAGTACTGCCCCACCCTCCCCAGGAACGACAGGACAGCCCTCCAGCCCTCCGACTGTGGGAGTCTCTCTGTCCCTCTGGGTCTCTGGCTCTCAGACTCCAGAGCTTTATTGACACAGCTGACATGACCAGGCTGTCTCTCTGCCTGTCTCTCTATCTCCCTGTCTCTGCCTCTCTCTTTGTGTCCCAGATTCAAGAGCTTTATTGGCATGACCAAAGTCTGAATGAATCTCTCTCTTTATGCCTGACTTTCTGTCTCCCTCTCCCTCTCACTGTCCTGTCTCTCTCTCTATGCCTGTTTTTCTGCTCGTCTCTCTCTTTCTCACTTTTTCTGCCCCCCTCTCTATTTTACTGTGTCTCTCTACCCCTCTCTCGCCCCTCTGTCTGTCTCTCCGTCTCTAACTCCTGCTGTCTCTGTCTCTGTCTCCGTCTCCTCTGGCCCGTGCCTGTTTCCTGGGGCGGACGAATGCGCAGACAGTACAAACCAAAGCTGATCCTGTGTGTGTGGTCTCGCAGCGACCCCTGGTGGCCGGAGTGGGAACTGCAGTTGGAAATCGACCAGTGAGAAGGGCGAGGCCTGCAGAGCCGCGGATCCTCCCGGGAGCAGCCCGCGGGCGGCCAGCAGAGTCTCCGGGCTGCGCAGCCCGGCGCCCAACGGGACCTTCCCACCCGTCTGCCTTCCCTTCCGAAAGGAGGGGAACAGTTCTAGGATGGCACAGCTGCAGAATTCTGGTGGCTCTGAGACATTTGGAAACGTGCTGAGAGACCCCTCTGTGTGAGGACTGCAGGCAGGCTAGAGCCCCAGACTGGACACGTCCTCCCCAGCTGTCCTCTGTCCCAGCCGGCTCGTTCCAGCTCCTTCTTCCCTGCTTACCTTGGGAACAGTGTTCTTTACATGTATTCTAATACAAATAACCTTCATGTGAGGCCTTTAAAAGCGCAGTAAGAATTAACAGCAACTAATTTATCTTGTATATATTGTCTTGGGCGGTTTTACTCCAAGCTGTTTGAACCCCAGTGTGCCTTTAACGTTCGCTTGTTGCCCCGGAGGCCCTGAAAAGCCATTTTTAAATGACTCTGCCCCCTAATGAAGTCAATGTAGTAATTAGTCCAGTTGAGGTTTGTCTGTGGAGTTACACATCTCTCTCGGATTCAGGGAGTCCCTTCGCTGTTGGGGTCTGCTGGTCCATCCAGGGGAGTCCCACTGACCCCCGGTCCCCTGTAGCGCAGTCAGCTCCAGCACAGACCCCTCCAGCGCAGTCCCCTCCAGTGCAGTCAGCTCCAGCACAGACCCCTCCAGCGCAGTCCCCTCCAGTGCAGTCCCCTCCAGTGCAGTCAGCTCCAGCAGAGACCCCTCCAGCGCAGTCCTCTCTAGTGCAGTCAGCTCCAGCACAGACCCCTCCAGCGCAGTCCCCTCCAGCGCAGTCAGCTCCAACACAGACCCCTCCAGCGCAGACCCTCCAGTGCAGTCAGCTCCAGCAGAGACCCCTCCAGCTCTCCGGCGCAGTCCCCTCCAGTCCAGTGCTCTCCAGTGCAGTCAGATCCAGTGCAGTCAGCTACAGCGCAGTGCTCTCGAGCGTAGTCCACTCCAGCGCAGTGCTCTCTGGCGCAGTCAGCTCCAGCTCAGACCCCTCCCCTCCAGAGCAGTCAGCCTGTTCCTTTCCATCTCCGAAGTTATGATGTAATCAACTTGACACAGTGCTGGCGGAGGAGCAGGATGGAGGGTTGGCGGAGCAGTGTCATTTCAGATCTTCAGATAGATTTAAAGACACTCAGAGAGATGACAAGTGTTTGTTTTTCTGTTTTTGGACTAGTCTCGCAGACAGAATGGCTTGTGTGAAGTCCATTCACAAGTGTTACACAGTGCTCTGGGCATTACAGTGTGCAGTAAAAAAATCCTTAAAGCTACTTATTTTACACCCCTGGAGTGTTGAACGCTTGGTGTTCCTGGAGTTCAGTGGAAAGTGTTATAAGATGGTCTGTGCTGTTCAGTACAAAGATCCTTAGAGCTCTTCTTACTTAATACATGCCTGATCTCAGATTCTTTCCACATACCTGCGCTTAAATTTCTCTCTCTCCTCTGTCTCTTTCTCTCTGTCTCTCCTCTCTCCCCTCTCTCTCTTCTCTTTTCTCTCCCTCTCTCTTCCTCCGCTCTCCCCTCTCTCCCTCTCACTCTCTCTCACTGTGGCCGATGGTCTCTGTAGTCGGACCCTTCTGTTCTTTTGAGTCCTGCTCCTCTCCTCCTGTTTTCTGCTCACTAATGACAATAAAGACCAGCTACCAGCTTCACACGGACACTGGGCTGCCATTACTGGGTGTCACACTACAGGCTAGGCCAGGCGAATGCAGTACTGAGGGCAGGTCAGTGTGTCCGCAGGGCTGTCCAGTCCTGGTCCTGGAGAGACTGGTCAGTGTGTC